TATATATATATATATATATATATATATATCGTCAAATAGAACTGCCCGGTAAACCGTAGGCAGAGAGGGAGAAGAGGACAACAAACGAGGGGTTGTATATATATATATATATATCGTCAAATAGAATATATTTCTGGGGCCATTAAGGAATCCCAACCTACTGATGCATTTCAAGTTTGAACGCAATTGCGTGTGGCTCGCAATCTCAGCGCTCGGCCTCACATAGGCAATCGTTTTTCCAAACGAGACCTTTCAAGCAAAAACATGTCTGAAAATGTTTGAGACACACAATCCGATTATGAAAGTTGTCGTCGAGCTGTCCTGTGAGACACCCGACCAACAAAGTTGCGGCGAGTCCGAACAACAGCACAGGATCCAATCAAGCTGGAATGACAGCAACAGGAGAACAAAGAATTGCATTGCCTTCGTGAAAGGATGATGGTATCTACTTCCCCCAAACTCAACACACCGTCACTAAGACCGTATCGGACCAGGAAGATGGCTTGCATGCATTCATGATCACGGTGCATTGTGTTCGGGTGGAGCAGGTAGTGATATTCCCATTGTCGTGCGACTCAGCTGCAAGTACTCTCCTCCTGATACACAAAACACTCCATCCATGCACCCACCCATCCATATGTCCATATTCATACATCAATCCACCCACCCACCCACCCATCCATCCATCCATCCATCTACATTTGCAGTCATCGTCAATTTATGCATTCCATTCAGCACCAGCGAACTAAAGGGCTTGGTGGAATGCCAGAGCGTATCTAGCTGATTTTCTGGGCAGATTCTGCCAGAGGTTTTGCAGGTTGTCACCTGCTGATTTGTAGGCAAGGGCTCGGTCAACGTCCGTGTGGCCATCTCCATGTCTTCCCTTGCGCTCGGATCGTCTGCCCCCTCAGCGTAGTTATGCACGCTCCTACTTGCTGGAATCGATCTCCTGCCCTCAACTGCAACGCTTCTCCTGTCCTGGTCACCGTCATGGCGACCATCACTGCAGCGTTGGAGAACAGACTTCTCAGCAGTCATGCCTTTTGCATCGTTCGCCGGTTCACCGTCCTTTCGGTTCCCCGCTCCTGGAGCATGGACATCGTCCGTCCAGCATCCCTCAAGCTTGCCCACACTTGTTGCTGCAGTGTCCGCCTTATTGTCACCGTCAACCGGCATCATCGTCTTACCTGCGCTATCAATTTTTCTAGCATCCTTCTCGACTTCATGTCTTGCCGCAGTTTCCAGCTGATCCCCCTCAGCCGCCGAAGGGAGAGCATCCATTGACGACTTCCCCTCTATCTGCCCCATTCCCATCGTCCCATCCTTTGGACCATGCTGTTCGGAAAGTCTTGGCACTTCAGAAGTCCCACATTCATTTGGGCCCGACTGACCCTTCTGCGCTACAGACGCCATGGACCTCGCACGCAGTGATGTTGCTGCCGCCTCCCGATGACGTAGCGGCCGCATGGTTTCATCCCACCAATCCTCTGCCACACGGTGTGGAAGCACAGCCGACCATCGCAAAACATACCTGGAAAGAGAAAGAAAAAAAGGAGGGGGGGGAGGGCGGGAGTGAGGGGGGGGTTGGGGGTGGGGGTGGGGGTGGAGGAGGACAACCACAACTTCAGAATCAAAATGGCAAGAAAAAATTAAATAAAAAAAAATCAAATTGCCAAAAGAATGGTCACTCCATGCTATCTGATTGCAACCTTTGGACAATGGGCCCGTTGTAAATAAAATTTATTCTTTGAAAAAAAAGAAAAAAGAAAGGACGAAGCATCGTAGTGTAGAGACGTTGTCTAAAATAGTAATGATGTAGTCACGACGTGTGGCACACTCGCAACTGCACTTGCACTGTGTCATACCATCGGCCAGATTGTCTCACGTGTCATTGACAATTAAAAAAAAAAAAAAAAAAAAAAAAAAAAAGCCACTCTATTTCGACAAACTGAACTGTCCGTCCTCATCTGGACGATGTCAAGCACTACAGTGATGTCACTCAAATTCTTTCTGCAGAACTGTGAGCCTTTGGAGGCTTGAACACAGTACCTGCTACATACTTCTTCCCCCAAATAGAACACATGGCCATTTTCGCCGTCTTCCAGGACATGGTCTTTTTCAAGAGCAAGCGCATCGATGCGCCTTGATTTTTTTTTTCTTTAGCTTTTTAATGTGGACAATCCCCCTCCCATGGGACCGGTCCACTCCTATGGGACAGTCCACCATCAACAGTGGTCACCAGTTATAACACATGCCGATATCTATCTATACGAAACAGTTTGTCACAACCCCTCGTTTGTTGTCCTCTTCTCTCTCTCTGCCTACGGTTTACCGGGCAGTTCTGTTTGTGACGATATATAATATATACAATATATATATATAGTCAAACAGAGATGCCCGATATACCGTAGGCAGAGAGGGAGAAGAGGACAACAAACGAGGGGCTGTGACAAACTGTTTCGTCGGAGTTTCACCGACTCATCAGGAGGCTGAACCCTCAACAGTCTGCAGAATCCCCTATAACTGATTACACTGTAAGTGATAATCCACCTTAACCCCGGCTGTGGTTAAGCATCAATGACTGCCCGACAACTGATACCCTGAGGTGGGCACCAACCACTGCCCTCAAGGTACCTATGACGAAAATCAAAGCAGACTATCACTCACGCACACCATATGGAAAACTCTACAGACTGTCATATATATATATATCAGCCTCCTGATGAGTCGGTGAAACTCCGACGAAACAGTTTGTCA